GAGAGGTCAGATGGAGTTACATACATTACTTTATTATTATCTAAACTTTAACACTCCATACAGGCCGAAAAGTGATATTTACTTGTTTGTTTCATAACTAGCAGGATCTTTGGCTGTTTTTAATGGAGTTTAGTGACATTCCGTCTGTACCACTCGGGACTCGTAAGGTCTTGTACATATTTTGAGAAGTATCAACGTGACGAAGCCTTCAAACTGGCTTCTCTCGTGTGAAACTTTTTAGTGTGAGAACGAAACATTTATCTATTTATTTGCTGTAGAAAAACTAAAATCATACCGGCAGTCGTGTTACAACTTGGTCTGAAGCCACATTATGAAGAGCTCAACTTTTCGGCATCGTCATATGCAGCATCGCTGCCCTCCGTTTTTGAGCCGTGTTTCACCTTCTCAATCTCACCGTCCAAGATTTATCAAACTCAAAGTTTGTGACCAATTGAATTTCCCGGCTCTGCCACGTGTATTGCTGACATGCATTCTTATCAGTTGCGTTCAACACAGTTTACAAAAATAAAGTGTCCTACCCTTCGTAACCTCCAGTGTTCATAATATGAATTGAAATTAACCGCGGGCTGCGCAGCCTGATTACTTCTAAGAAGATTCATCGCTGCAGGAAGTTACTTATAGGGGTTATACCCTGGTGATGTGAACAGTTGGTTTTAACTGAGTCGAAGGATGCCAAGAATTTAGCTGGTGGCAAAACTTGGAAGACCTCTGGGGCTCAAATCTTCATTGGAGTCGAACAGCGTTGAAGATTTTCAGTACCCCTTTTCGGAATGGCTCAGTCACACCAAGCTTTTTTGCATTAAGTTCGGTAGATCTTTCAACAATCGGTACTGATGACCTACAAGACCTTTCCCCCGCATGGTCTGCTTCGCTTGTGGACACGTCAATAACGCTTCTACCTGCTTACGCCACGACCTCGCTCCTACATTTGATCAATGTCTTACTCATTGGCCGATCACCGATGACAAGCTCAAAATAACTTGTAACTGATTGTTCACGAACATACAAAACTTTTGTGTCACGAAACGATTTATTTCTGGACATTTCTGACTGCTGATTTTTCTTCGAAACCACCGTGTGTTTTTGGTGTATCAACAGCCACTACATTCCTTCCCTTCCTTTATGCATGCATCTTGTTTAGAACTATTGGGATCGCTGGCTATGGGGGCCAGCCGGTTGTCTACACTAAGTTATGTTGTGATGTCGTTCGTTTGAATGACACTTACCGGGGTGCTGATAAGACTCGGTCATCTATTCAACTTTCTGATTCAACTTCTTTGTTATTCCTGTGCGAATCTGGCTTAAGTGCTGAACTCCTCCCGAAGATTTTATGAATGTGTTTCGGTTAACCTTCAGCTGCATGACCACTGGTGGCGAATCCCATACACATGCGCTTAGTTGCGTGCGCTTTAAAGCTTCTGTTTCTCATGATTTCGCACTGCTTTCAATATGTGAATGCACGGTTTCGCCGACTGACTCTTAACACTGGCTGTACGCGCAGATGGTCCCGTATCAACTTGCCTAGCCTCGTCTACTCAACCGACCTACACGACGAAACGTGCATATGACAGAATGAAGTATGGTGCTTATTGTCCTCATCTTGTAGCAACTTGAACAATATGTATATAGCTAAATCTCATTACCGTAACACACCTAAACGTATGGATTTGAAGCGAACAGTTTCGAACGAAATGATGAGACAGTTAGCAGTGATGGATCTCACTCAACTATAAGTCACACATAAATGGACTACAAATCGGTGGAAAGCCATTGAACCGGGCCACGCAATAATATTGCAGTTCGAGCCGCAGTTAAAATAACTTCCCAATAAATAAACTGATAAGGTCAGTGACAACCACTTGATATTTATTCTTTCATTTTTCTGCTGGCATAACATCGTTTAGTTAGCTTAGTTGCCAAGTGCACTTGAAGCCCATGGTCGAAGTAAAACAGTCATCGAGGCAGCCTAGGTGATATAAAATCTTATATCCGCTGGGGACATTCTTCTACCTTCAATCTATGAGGTTACCTATGATTTTGGTTAAGTCGAAGCAGAGATGCCGTTGTGGCGGTTTTGGGCATAAAGTCTAAGTAAAAAGGATGGATCTCCTCGATATGAAGTGACCATGAGAAATAATTTGTGCTAGAAACGTCATCCGGTAAGCGGTACCGTATCGCTCAG